TGGGAACGCTGATAGAGAGGCTACAAAGAGGAACCTTGAGGGTCAGACACCCAGCCCCAAATCCCAGCCACCATCTCAACCTCAATATGACTGCCTAAAGAGCTAAAAGAAAGCTAGGAGTGCAACTGCCCAGGTGGGCTCTGGCCGATTTATAGCACCGGCACCATGAAACAGAAAGTTCAGGCTACCAGGTTGTAGAGTGGTTTGATGTGCAGCAATAGAAAACCAAAACAGTAGCCCGCACAACTCATCGCTAATAAGGAAAAGGTAACGGGCCTTATGAGTTTTTCTACATACGGCATTTCAAGGATGGTTCTTAAATGGTTATCTGAGGCCTTCATTTGATCTGAGGAGACATTTCCAAGAAATCCCCTTCCCTGTTTAGTTCCAGGTTTTTTTCTTTTTTTTTTTTCTAGTTAGACAATGATTTTGTTGCTTGAGTACAGAGTCCAATTTCTGCAACCAGGCCAGGGGCTGTGGATGACTCGGATTTCCCATTGGGAGGGAGGACTTGTTTGGTCTTATAATATCGAGCCAACCAGTAAATACGGTTCTCAATCAGAGCCATTTCTGATTCTGAAAGGATGATTCTCATCCTCTCTGTTCCTCTCAAGATGCTTTTGAACAGGAACAGCTTTCCTAATCAAATGGTAGAGATCCTTGAGAAAAGCAGGAGCAAGTCCTATGGACTTGAGAATTCTCAAGATTTTACTGCCCATGGCAAAGCGTACTTGTGCAAAAGCATGGGCATCACTCAGGATGACACTGATTCATGAGGGAGTCAGGCCCTTCTCGGTGAGTTTGTAGGCTTGCTCCTTCCTGTTGCCAGATGTCAACTTCAGCCAAGTGGGGACGCTGCGGGGGGTGGCGAGACAGAGCCAACTGGGACGGACCCTTCCTGGGAGCCTGCATGTGACCCATGATGGTGGTGGTCAGGCAGTGAAAAAGAGAGTGAGGGTAGTTACCTCCAGGTGAAATCTGGCCAGAAGAGAAAGGAAAATTGGAAGCAGCAGGCACCAGGCTCCAAAGGTCAGTGGAGGGGCAGGTCTTGCTGCAGCTCTCACACCCTCTGGCTGCTCTGATGGCTCACCTTGTCAGCAAGACGTAACAGTGCTCAATTGCTAGGAGGCAAAGAGGGTGTTGGGGAAACCTGGCTGAATTTCTGGGGGCAAGGACCATTGAGCCCTGATCCATGGATGAGTGACCCAGGTGGACACAGGTGATCCAGAGAGAAGTTTACAGTGATATGCAAAGGATCCAGGTAAACAGTGTCCCTAGCATTTCTTGCCTACTAAGATATTGTACCAGGATCTCTTTGACCTGACAACTAGGGCCATTTGCCTGTTTGCAGGACTCTGTCTTCCCTGAGCAAAGGAGAGGATGTGGCCCACCTCAGTACTCAGAATGACCAATGCCCAGCTGTGTGTGTGTGTGTCTGTCTGTCTGTCTGCATGTATATTCTAAACATTGGTTTCCTAGGCCAGTGTGGTGATTAATTTTGTGTCCTATTTACTGGGCCATGGGATGCCCAGATTAAACATTACCTCTGGGTGTGCCTGTGAGAGTATTTCCACTTGAGATTAGCATTTGAATCAGTGGACTCAGTAAAATAGATAACCCTCCCCAAGTCAATGGGCATCATCCAATCCATTGAAGGCCTGAAAAGAGCAAAAGGCAGAGGAAGAGCAAACTCATTCCCTTCCTGCCTGCCTGTGAGCTGCGACATTGGTCTCCTGCCCTTGGACTGGGATTTACAGCATCAGCTCCCCTGATTTTCAGGCCTTGGGACTCAGATTGGAGTCACACCCCTGGCTTTCCTGAGTCCCCAGCTTTCAGGTGGCAGATTGTGAGACCTCTCAGCCTTCATAATTGAGCTAGTTCTTCATAGTAAATCTCTGTTTGGTTCTGTTTCTCTGGAGAACTCACCTAATACAGTCAAAAGGGGGACAGACAGATTAAGCCAGATCTATTGGGCCATATTTCCTACTTTCTCATTACTTTCATGAGAAATAGAAGCCACTAAGGGTATAAAGCTAGAGTCAGGGAGTGAAATACTGAGATTTGGGTTCCCAGATGTTCTCTCTGGCTGCCCTGGGGAGGGTAGGCTGGAGGGGCAGCTGGAGTGGAGCTGACAGTTTGGGGCCACTGATCATCTACTCCTGCTGTTGATATGAATTCCTTTCACAAAACATAGCACGACCCTCAATCACAGGGGCCTTTGCCTGTGGGTGGCTTTGCCCACAGTGGGTGATAAATAAATGCTTGTGGAATGCAGACCATTAAAAGTACAAATTTAGGGGGGAAAGGTGACAAATCTGGTATAATATAGGAACCATATTTTGAGTTTAAAAGTGTATAGTGTATAGGGAACTCTTGAATGGTGGGAAGACAAGGCCCCAAGGGCTAGCCCCTCCATCAGAGGACTGAGACTGGGACATGAAAAGGATAGTAATTGTATGCGTTAGTGTAACTTCAGACCCACAGTTGCCAGAGATGGAGAGCTTCTTGGAGACCAGCCTACTTTCCTGCTCTGCAGGACTCCATGAAGCCTGGAGAATGCAAAAGACTTTCAAAAGCCATACCGGCTGATGTGTCTTTCCTATTGGAAAGATTTATGAAAAACTGCTATTGTTTCTGCCTTGCACATTCAGAACCTGCCAGTGAATTTCTCCCCCCTGGAAAAAGATGTTTCCTACTGAATCAATTCCTTTATGGATACATGGCTATTTGGGTTTTCATTTCTTCTTGATACCATTTCAGTAAATTATATTTTTCTTATAATTTTTATATGTCATCTGAATTGTTAAATTAATTTGCATATATTTGAGTGAAATATCCCCTTACATTGTTACTTTTTTTAAAATATTGATTTATTTTTAGAGAGAGGGTGAGAATCTTTCAAGAAGACTCCCTGCTGAGCACAGAGGCCAACACGGTGGGGGGGGCTCCATCCCAGGGACCCATGGGATCATGACCTGAGCTGAAACCAAGAGTCCCATGCTTAACCCACTGAGCCATCCAAGCACCCCTCTCCTTATGTTGTTCTTTTTTTTTTTTTCTGAAGATTTTATTTATTTATTTGACAGACAGATCACAAGTAGGCAGAGAGGCAGGCAGAAAGAGAGGGGGAAGCAGGCTCCCTGCTGAGCAGAGAGCCCGATTCAGGGCTCTATCCCAGGACCCCGAGATCATGACCTGAGCCGAAGGTAGAGGCTTTAAACCCACTGAGCCACCCAGGCGCCCCTCCCCTTATGTTGTTCTTAAAGCAAAACACATCGAAGAGAAACATACATAGAGAAAACCGTTCAGATTATACAGATAAGGTTGATCAATTTTCATATGATGATGACATTCTTGGAACAACCATCTAGATAAAGAAGCCCCACCAGCACCCATTCCTAGACACTGCCCCCACCCTAGAAAAGTAACCACTATAATGACTATCATTACTGATTAGTTTTCTCTGTTTTTGATTTTTATGCAGTTGGGGTCTTCCAGTGTCTGGCTTCTTGTGCTTAGCATTTATTGTAAGAGTCACCCACACACACAACAGCAGCTCATTTATTTTCACTCGTGAAAGAATTTCATTGTGTGCATATGCCATACACTACAGGAACCTCCTCCATTAGACGGTATTTGGGTTATTTCCAGTCTGGAAATATTAGAAAGAGTGCTGCTACAAACATGTCTTTGATATGAATATGCACTTTTGTTGGGTATATTTTTTGAGTGGAATTTCTCAATAGTCACAGTCTAGAGGGTCCGGGTCTCCAGGCCCCTGCGTTAATAGAACTCTGAGTCTCCATGACTGGCCCTAGGGACTACTGGGTTTCTGGGGTCTGAGCCTTTGAATCCCTCAGTCTCGGAAGTCAGGGTCTCTTGGGTCTCCTGTTCTGGCCAAGTTCTTTCTTATCTGCTCTCCACCCTCAGCTCCACCTCCTCGTAAAAAGAAGTGTGTACTACCCGGTCCACTGGGGGGAATCTGCTCTGTGGATCTCAATCTCACCCACTTTCCGAAGCCAGGAGCCACGTCCAGAGACAACCCTCCTCCCCCGCCCCCCGCCCCCGACACACACACGCACCACTACCACCACCAAATCACTAACACGTGAAGCATGCACACAGACCTCGGCTCACACACACTGCTCCCTCTCCCCATTCGACATGCTCATGCGCACCATTACCACCCGCACAGGGCAAGCACAGACCCACTTCGAGCCCCCAACCTCGGATTCTGCTCTGCGCATGCGCCACCTCCCCCTTTCACTCTGGTGAGCAGCCACTGAGCTCCCACCTTCAATTGCCTCCTGCAATGCCACCTCAGAGGGTAGAAATCAATGCTCTTCAATAGCTTTTAAAGCCTATGATTGATTAAATAAATAAACCCCATAATAAGGGGCGCCTGGGTGGCTCATTCGGTTAAACATCTGCCTTTGGCTCAAGTCATGATCCCGGGGAGCTGTGATCCACTCGAGCTCTGACTCCTTGCTCAGCGAGGAGCCTGTTTCTCCCTCTCCCTCTCCCTGCCACTGCCCCTGCTTGTGCTCTCTCTCTCCCTGACAAATACATCTTTTTAAAAATTTTAATAGAGCCTATAATAATCCCACAAAAGCAGGTAATCCGCAAACAGCCGCTTCGCATTGAGAGTGCCCTGCACGGTGACAGTAACAGCGCACTGCTACAGGAAAAACAAACAAACAAACAAACAACAACAACAACAAAAACCCCACAACCAACAACAACCAAAAAAACCCAAAAACCAAAAACCTTCGCAGCATTGCGGAGTCCCAAGCCCTGCGCAGGCGCATAAGGGAAACCGGGCGGTACTCGCTAGCAAGCGGTAGAAGGGGCCGCAAGAGTTGCTGGGAGTTGTTGGCCCAGCGGGCCCAGTTGCCTCAAGTACTTCGGAGTTGCCGCATGGGGTTCTGGGAGCAGTAGGCAAGACAGCCCCCAAAGCCTTCTGGGAGTCGTAGTCTCCGGAGCCACTTCCGTGAGAGACTTCCGCGTGTGGGGCCGTTTGGACGTTCTAGTACCGCGTTGTGCCCAGGTGAGTTGTTCCTCCTGCAGCGGATGGGCCCATGGGCCCCTGCTCTAAGCTGCAAGGGCATGTGAAGTTGAGAGGCTCGGGGAGTGGTGACAGTAGCCCCCGTGATTCCCTAACTCCTGTGTCCCAGAGGCCTTCTGGCCAGGATCCCCACGTTGGACATGGTGGTCCATCCGGTCTCTTGTCCACACATTCCTTCCCGCAGGTGGGGTTTCCACCATCTCCCTGCCCACCCCCACAGCATCGGGTACATCCAGGAGGCCCCTAGTGTGTCCTCGAACCTCTGTTCTGGTAGAAGGATGCCACACACTATCATCCGTCTGCCAAAGCTGCAGTCCGGAGGCATCCCTGGGGTCCGTGTCTCTTCCTCTGGGGGCATTTATAATCCCACATTCTACAGTTATTTACCGAGCGTGGCACTGTGCCAAGCCCAATGTGAGGCCGGGGGGTTGGCGGGGGAGACGGTGGTGGATGAGGCAGACCTAGTCCCTGCCTTCAGTGCCTCAAAGGGGACAGGTCTGCCACTGACAGGTAGAGTCGTGGTCGGGAGGGGATGGAGGCATACTAGGGGCTCTCTGAGCCTGGAGGGGGCGCCTGACCCAGGCTGGATCCATAAAATCTTCCACAGGAAGATGCTTATCGGGCATTTCAAACCTGATATTGCCCGGTTGGAATTCCTGGTGGCCCTCCTGACAAAATGGCCCCATCATCCTCCTGAGGGTTCTGGCCAAAACCTCCACATCAGTCTCCATTCATCTTTTCTCATCAGCTGAGCCTCCACCATAATCCAGGTCTTGAGCAAGTCCTACGGACTCTACCTTCAAAACAGGTCCGGAATCCCACCCTTCCTTCCCACTCCCACTGCCACCATGCCCACCGGGCCACTTGTGACTCGCATTGGCTATTTCCATAGCCTCCTCCCGGCCTCCCTGCCTCTGCTCTCGCCCCCTCAAGTATGTTCCCCACACAGCAGTCAATGGCATCCTTCGAAAACTTAGGTCAGATCGTATCCCTTTCCTGCTCAAAACCCTCTGTGAATAAAATTCAGACTCCATGTCATGGCCTCTGAGTCTCTGATGAGCTCCACAGACTCAACACCTGGCATGAGGCCGACTCCCAGAACTGGGTGGCTGTAGATTTAGGGCAAGAGGAGGGATGAATCCAAGGTGATATGATGTTCTGTCCTGTGGAGGAGCTGGGCGGGAAGTGATGGTGCCGTCAGGAGCCAGGCACCGGCTGGGCAAGAGCAGGTTTCTGCCTTGGGGTGGGGGGAATTGGAGTCTGGCCGGTGTGGGCACTTGAGATCTGAGAGATGACCTAGCCGGGATCCTCAGTGGGGCATTTGGACGACCAGACGAACGGACATCAGAAGTCAGAGTCACCTACAGGGAGACTGGGCTGGGCAGGACCTGAGGACTGTGAAGGGGACTCTCCAAAAGAGACTGGAGACTCTGCAGAGAGCAGAGGGAGGATCCAGTCAAAAGTCAAAAGGGAAAAAAAATTGCAAGGGGATGTTGCTCAGCTGTGACAGATGCACCTGACGGGCACGGCTGATGGCTCCTGAGGGCTACTTGCTGGCCCAGAGACAGGGAAAAGTACTCCAAGCAGAGGGAAGAGCCAGTGCGAAGACCTTGTGGGAGGTGTGTGGTCCTGGAGCATTTGAAGGTACAGACCTGCGTGAGCGAGGAGGGGGAGACGAGGCCCGAGAAGAAGAGAGCCAGATCCCAGAGAGCCTCAGAGGCCACTGGCTCAGTCTAGGGTGGCCGCCACGCAGATGATGAGAAGTGTTGGCTTCTGGATCTGCACGGAAGCTATAGTCAGACGGGATTTACTTGTCTTCCATGTGGGCATTTGGGGTCTGGGGTCTAAGGATGTCTCTGGGGCATCCTCGGTGGGACGTGTGGAGGAACAGCTGTGACTCGACATTGCAATTTGGAGTCATCCACGGGGAGAGTGAGGAGAATAGTGCAAGAAGAGCAGGCCAGGGTCCCGGACCCCTGGGGCTGCTCTTTACTGCAGGAGAAGCAAGTGTGGGAGGAAGAATCAGGAATCTGGGTTTTGAGATGCCTATTAGACATCTGAATGGCATGGGCCCTGCCTCAGGAAGTCACAGACAGTAAACAAAGTGTCACATAAGGTGACTCCGCGTATTGTGGCAAATCCTCGAAGCAGGGGGACCTGCTCGGAGGCTCCTGTACTGGGCCAGGCTGGAGGCAGTGGTGGCTTGGGGAGGGGGTACTGAGCCTGGTGGATATTTATGGGTTTACAGGCGTGTGGCACCAAGGAGGGTGTGGCTGGAGGATCGGAGTTTCTGCTGGGGAGGGACGAGGTAGGAGGAGGGGGACAGAAAGGGACCAAGGATGGGCCAATTCCTGTTTGTAAGTCCACAGAAACTTGTGGGAGATTCTGACACTGGAGCAGAATTGAGTCCAATCCTGGAGGGCCATTCACCCTGCCTGGGAAACAGAAGCAGCCCCAGTTGGTGCCCGTGGAGATGTGATCAGTGCTGCCTCTGTGTCTCCCTGGAGTTGGTGATCACCCTGCCCTGCATAGGATGCTGTGGGGGCTCACTCCTGGAGACAGCACCCCCCCAAAGTGAAATCCAGTTGGTCTTTCCCATTTCTCCCCCTTCCCCCTGAACAGAGCTGCAGTCCCCCAGGCCTCCTCTATCCTCAGAGTTGCTAACCCCTTCCAGGCTCTCTAAAAAGCCCTGGGGGTCCAGGTCAAAGGTCTCCACCCTGTCCCTCTGATTCTTGCTCTAATAGGGATGGCCTCCCTGGAGACTGACACTGCTGCTTAATATGCAGACCCCATCCGCCCCAACTGGTCACAACCTAATTCTGAGTGTACCTTGCTTGTCTTCCCCTCTCCATCAACCCCCCCCCACCACCGCCGTCCCCATACCAACTCTTAAGACTCCTTCTCTACTTGGTGTACAATGGGGTGCATTAGGAGAAGCCTCCTGAAGCCAGACCCACACATACCTGGCCCTGGATCAATTTGGGCAGGAGAGCTAGCTGGCAGCCTCCCTGGAGGCAACGACCCCGCAAGCCGGCATCCACATATAAACCGCCTCCCCTCTTTCTCTGTCCAGGAGAAGCCAGCTCCTCCCGGCCCGCCCGGAACCCGCCCCGCGATGCCCGCTCCGCAGTGCTCCTCCTGCCACGCGGCGCGCGCGGCCCTCCGCCGCCCGCGCTCCGGCCAAGCGCTGTGCGGGCCCTGCTTCTGCACCGCCTTCGAGGCCGAGGTGCTGCACACGGTGCTGGCGGGCCGCCTGCTGCCGCCTGGCGCCGTGGTGGCCGTGGGCGCTTCCGGCGGCAAGGACTCCACGGTGCTGGCGCACGTGCTACGCGAACTAGCGCCGCGCCTGGGCGTCTCGCTGCGCCTGGTGGCGGTGGACGAGGGCATCGGCGGCTACCGGGACGCGGCGCTGGCGGCCGTGCGGCGCCAGGCCGCGCGCTGGGACCTCCCGCTCACCGTCGTGGCCTACGCAGACCTCTTCGGGGGCTGGACGATGGACGCTGTGGCCCGCAGCACGGCCGGCACCGGCCGCAGCCGCGCCTGCTGCACCTTCTGCGGGGTGCTGCGGCGCCGCGCGCTGGAGGAAGGGGCGCGCCTCGTGGGAGCCACGCACATCGTCACGGGTGAGCGCAGGCACTGCAGCCCAGGCGCGAGGGCCGGCACCTAAAGGGGGCTGTGCACGGGCCCGATATCTGGTGGAGGAGATGCTGGGGGTGCCCCGGGTGGAGGATGTCCACGAGGAGAAGCGGATATGCGTGCCCGCTGAAGGCACACGGGCGTAGCACTCGCGGGCCGGGATGGGCGCGGCAAGCTTTTGAGTCCCTGCCGTCACACTGGCAGCTAGAGGGGCGGAGGGGTACTCCCCGGCGCTGTGGTTCCCTGCATTTTAAAAAAAATGACGCTCTTTGTGTCCCCCTTCATAAAAGGAGGCCAGTGAAGTGGTACCACCCATCAGAAGCCAGCTGTATTCTGAAACGCCCCTATCCTTGAACTGCTTTTCTCTGTTAGCCTCTCCTCTCTGATAACCCTTACCCTCTCCCGGTCATTACTTCCACACGTGATTCTTGACCATTTACTGTGTAGCGGATACAAGCTTGGTAGTCCAGAGCGATACCTAGCCTCAGTTACCTCTTCTGTAAAATGGGGTTATTAATATCCAGGTCCCAGGGTTGTTGGGCATTAGATGACTTATGTGTGAGGCGCTTAGACCAGAGACTGGAAAATAGTAGACCTTACGCAAATGTCGCACAAGACAGTCTCTGTGCCTGCTCTTCTCTCACACGCATATTTAAAACCTGAGAAGCTCTACTAAGGAAAATCGCACAGACTTTGCCAGTTTATAGCAGGAACACCCCGTGGAAGGAGAAAAGTAGGGGTTAGGAAGCATTTCCAGAGTGAGGCAAGTCCTGAAGGCCATTCAAGTAAGCAGTGGAGGGTGGACAGAGGGTTGGGTTCTGAGCAGAGGAAACAGCTTATGCAAAGGCCCTGAGGAGGGTTAGTATGGCCTGTTGGAAAAGCCCTGAGAAGACCAGGGTTTTACTATCTGGATTATACAGACTCACATATAAGATGACATGTAAATCTTCCCTTACCTCCACCCTGGTCTTTCTAATGCCCTGATCTGCATTCCCAGAGGCTCAAGGCTCACTTGAGAATCTCGGCTGTTTAATGTCATTTTGACTTCTGTGCAGTGGGAAGCACACTTCTGAGACTGAAATGGTATTTGTAGTGCAAAGCACTTTTACTACTTTCTGAAAAGGCAGCTAGCACAGGGCCTGGTTGGTAATAAGTGGGTGGCTAATGAGGGCACCCCGAGTTGCTCCCTGGGAGCCCGTGGGTGTTTCCCTCTTGTTTCTCACGGTGACCACCTCCAGCCTCCACCTGGCTGTCCCGTGGTGCCCAGGGGCCTCCGCGGCCCTGTCTGGCCCCTCCCTTCTGCTCCCCAAACCGCCTCTGCATCTCTCTGGGTCCTGGCTGCCGCATAGTGTCTGGGGTGTGAGGTCTCTAAGGCCCGGTCACCCACTCTGCCACTTTCCACATCCCCTCCCCGTCTCTCTCTGGGTTCTTGGGATGGGGTCTCCATGGCCCGGTCGCACACTCCGTGCCAGTCTCCAGACCTCTCCCCGTCTGGCAGGGTCGCGGCTGCCCCACGGTGGCGCCCCTGCCTCACCTGCTCCCCCTCTCTCCCCCAGGCCACAACGCCGACGACATGGCCGAGACCGTGCTCATGAACTTCCTGCGGGGCGACGCGGGGCGGCTGGCCCGGGGCGGGGGCCTGGGCTCGCGGGGCGAGGGGGGCGCCCTGCCGCGCTGCCGCCCCCTGCAGCTGGCCTCGCAGAAGGAGGTGGTGCTGTACGCGCACTTCCGCCGCCTCGACTACTTCTCCGAGGAGTGCGTCTACGCGCCCGAGGCCTTCCGCGGCCACGCGCGCGACCTGCTCAAGCTCCTGGAGGCGGCGCGGCCGTCGGCGGCGCTGGACCTGGTGCACTCGGCCGAGCGCCTGGCCCTGGCCCCGGCCGCGCGGCCCCCGCCCCCCGGCGCCTGCTCCCGCTGCGGGGCGCTGGCCAGCCGCGCGCTCTGCCAGGTCTGCGCCCTCCTGGACGGCCTGCAGCGCGGCCGGCCCCGCCTGGCCATCGGCAAGGGCCGCGGGGGCCGCGACGAGGAGGGGCCGCCAGGGCCGCCGCCCCCGCCGCCCAGCGACCTCCGGTCTGGGCCGGGCCCCGCCGCCGGGGAGTGCGGGGCAGCCTGTAAGGAGCGCTGCGAATAAACCCTCTCCGCCTGGGCCCTGCCACCCGTGACCCCGCAGAAGGGAGGAGAGGCTAGGGGCCTGGACTCCTGGGTCTGAGGGAGGAGGATTTGGGGGCCTGGACTCCTGGATCTGAGGGAGGAGGGCCTGGGGGCCTGGGGCCCAGGACTCCGAGGTCTGAGGGAGGAGCGTTCGGGGGCTGGAGAAGGTGGAACCGAGGCAAGAACTCTAGGGTCTGAGGGAGGAGGGGCTGGAGACCAGGAGAGAACTCAACAACTTTCCTTTCCGGAGCCAATAGGAAGTAGGGGGCTGCTTGCCTAGTACTCTGCCCGGTTCTGGGCATGCTCAGGAGAGTCCTAACCCTTCTTCAGAACCTACTATGTGTCATGTTTGCCGGTATCGGGATAAGCAAAACCGCTTCTCTCCATGGGCTCTCTCATGCCCGGAAATCAGGACGCTTCTCTGAGCGCTCTACACACTGCGGGCGCTGCCCCGGCTGATTTCATCCACACCACAGTCTCGTCGGCTGCAGCCTGGGGCTGGGTGACTGGCCTGAGGTCGCCGCGCTGGAGTTTGTCCCTCCACACCAGCTGGAGTTTGTCCCTCCACACCAGGCGGTCGGTGGGTGTTTAGATTTTGCCTGTGGTTCAGCACTCCGCTACAGAAATATAATGTGAGTCAAATGTGTAACTTTAAGTTTTCTAAGAGCCATATTTTTTAAAGGACAGGGGAACAGGTGAGCTTTTAATAATATATTTTACTTGACCCAAATAAACATATTTGACCTAAATATCCCAGATATTACAGTTTTATCTTGTTATTTTAAAACTGTGATATTTTACAGTATTTTTTTTTTTTGTACTAAGCCTTTGAAATACAGTATGTATGTTATACTTAAGCCGGTCTCCAATCCGATTCAACCACTGTTCAGTTGGGACCTGAGGACCCCACATGGGAACTGGGAAGATGCTATCCTAGGCTTTGGCCACAAGAGGTCACTGTACCCACACCTGTGCATCAGGTGGCCCTTGTTGGCGAAGGTCTCTCTCCGCTGGCCAGGTGGGAGCTCTGCTCTCTGCCGCCACCGACTCCCTGGTCTCCCTGGTCTGAACCAGGGGCCCAGGGCAAGAGGTACGATCTGGCAGAAGTATTAAGGCCCCACTGAAAACCTTCCTTGACCTCAAGACCTGTGCATTCATGCATTTCTTCACTCCGGAAATATTTATGGAGCACTTCAGCCGCGACCGCAGTGAACAATCACCTGCCGGAATGGGAGAGGCCAAAAAAGTGAGAAAAATAAGTTGAATACACAGTATGTCAGATGGTAATAAATCAGGGGATGGAAACAGGCCAACCTTTAAGTAGGTGTAGTGTAAGCCCTGACGGTTGGGTTTTCTCTTTTTTGTAATGCAAGTGCCTGACTTGGGCTTTGCCTGCCAAGGCATCCACTTCAGAGATGGCTATCTCGGCGAACAGACCGCCAGCCACACGACTAGACAAAGAGCCAGGCCGCCTTCCCCGTCCCCCAGGCTCCTTTGTGTTAGAGATCTTAGTTGATTCCTGTAAATCACAATCACCCTGCAGCTTCCCACGCTTTAAATTCCCCACTCATGTTTTAAATCCATGAAGAGTAAGCCTGTGAAACCCTAGGTAACCCCCCAGACCCCAATAAAAGCAGAACCCCAGAGACTCGTGCACCCGCCCTCCATTGTGACGTCGCTGTATGGCCTCCAGTTAAAAAAAAAAAAAAGAAAAAACTCCATTTTTTTTTTTTTTCCAAGTTTCCTGATGGTTATTGTTGAGGGCATCTTGCAAACCTGAGAACTGCAAGGGCTGGTCGGGACACAGCATCGGTTATCGATAGGCTGAGAGGCACAAAGCTGTGGGGTGGATAGGAAGGCCTTGAGGAGAAGGTGACTGCTGAGCAAAGACCTATTCGAGGTGAGGCAGCGAGCTCTGCAGATTTGTGGGAAGAGCCTTGCTCGCTGAGGAACGGGAGAGTGGTGGAGGGGGGAATGGAGGAGAGAGCTAAAAGGGACCAGATGGTGTAGGCTCAGCTTTGGTTTTGAGACAGAAGTCATAGAGTTTTGAGCAGAGGAGTGACAATGATCATCCCTTTATTCATGCAGCAAACATTTTGCAGGTGCCTCCCAGAGGCCAGGCCCTGCGCGGAGTAGTGGGGAAACAGCTGAGTCAGCCCCAGTCCCTGCCCTCAATGGGCTCCCCATCTGGTGGGGAAGGCAGGCATGGACAGAGGGATACATGCCACAGTAGGGAGTTAGCAAAGACACAGGGGAGCCCAGAGGTGGGGTGCCCAGCTCAGCATGGGGCGTCAGAGAATGCCTTCTGAAGGACATAGTGTTTCAACCGGGCCCCAGAAGGTGAGTAAGAATGAGCACAAGGTGGGGCACCTGCATGGCTCAGTGGGTTAAGTGTCTGCCTTTGACTCAAGTCATGATCCCAGAGTCCCGGGATCAACTGAGGTCATGATCCCCGAGTCCTGGGATGGAGCACCACACTGGGCTCCCTGCTCAGCAGGGAGTCTGCTCCTCCCTCTGCTCTTCCTCTTTCTTACTCTCTCAAATAAATAAAATCTTAAGGGAAAAAAAAAATGAGCACCAGAAAGCAATGGGAGGGAGACAAGGATGAGAGAACAGCAGATACAGAGGTCTGCAGGTAAGGAAGCACCTAGAACCTGTGTGGAATGGCTGCTCCCAGGGTGAGATGGCTGGTGGGGAGCTAGCCCAGGAGTCTGGGCCCCTGATAAGAGTGAAAAGCTCCTGCACACTGAGGGCTGTCTGCTGGGGGTAACACCGGCCCTAGGAAGGGTTCGGAGCAGACAGGACTAGCTCTGAGTACCAGAAAGCCCCTTCTGGGGCCATGTCCAGGAAGACTGCAGGGAGAAGCCAAAACAGAGCAGCAGCAAGGGATTGGGATGGTGGGAATGGATATGAGGGGCTATTTAGGAAGCACTCACCAAGGGCTGGGAATCCTACTAAACTCTAAGCTGTGTTTTGTAAGCATAAGAGCTCCCACATGAACCCCAGTACAAGAGAAGTCCGTCCTAAACAGACTGAACAGAAATAAAGATGTTTGCCACTCAGGCAGATGGCCATAGTAAACACGGGACAGTCTTTTGCTGAGGGAGAAAGCCATAGTAAGCACGGAGGGCGGAGTAGAGAAGTTGCTGAGACGGGAGCCCTAGTCGTCATCATGGAGTGGGACTTTTGCTGTGGTCTTTGGCCTTGCAAACTGCAGCCCCCACATAAACACAAGGGATCCTTCAGTCTTGTTGCATATGGTTGTGGATCTGATGAAAGGGTCAAGGCTGATGATGCAGAAACCTCATCCCCCAGAGTTGGAAGCTTTCTTTCCCTTAGGGATTCGAAGCCCAGTCTCAGAAAGATGGGCTTTCCCATCTTCCCCCTGTGTGTGCTCTCCCAAGCCTGGGTAATTGGAGTCTAGTGTCAGGTCTGAAGAGGTAGAAGCATTGGGTACAGAGATTCTGGAAGGAAGCAGATATCTGAAGGGAGTCGGGAATTCTGGAGGCAAGTGGATTTTTTGGTAGAAGCAGAGATCCTGGAGAAGAGGAGGCTTTGAGATAATCTCACTCCTTGGGCCTGTTTATAGAGCACCTCACTGCATGTCAGGTAGCAGACTCGTCTCAGGGGATTCAGCAGTGAACCTGCGAGACAAGGTTCCAGCCATCATGAAGCCTCAGTTCAAGTGAGAGAGACGTTACTTCATTCCACAAACGTTTACTGTGTACCTGCTATGTGCCAGGGCACAGATCAGATAAGGAAGCCAAAACCCCCTGCCCTGTCAGAGATGACACTCAAGTTATGGGAGACAGAATCCAAAAGAAAGCAAGTAAATAAGATGTGAGGGACATCTGATGGTAATAAATGCCATAGAGAGAGAAAACAAAAAAGACAATAAACAAGGAAGCAAACACATAAAGCAATTGTAGATTGAAATAAAGCATAGAAAGGAAACCAAGAAGGGGCTGAAGTAGAAACTAGAGGGGAATGTCTGCTCCCGACAAGGTGATCATAGGCACAGTGGCAGGAAGGGTGTCTCAGGCAAAGGAAACAGCAAAGACAAAGACCCTATATTGGGAAGACAACTACCATGCGGAGAAAATCAAGGACGTCCAGGGGAGCTGAGGCATGGTGCGTGATGGAGTGATGAGCTTGGAGGGATGGACATAAGCCAGACAGAATGCCTTGGAGGCATTTGGATCTTATTCCATTTGCAGTAGGGAATCATAGATGGGTTTTAAGCAGGTTGTAACATGATACTGTTTTATACTTTAGGAACATGTTGGCTGCTTGTACTTGGACTTGGCAGGGGTGGGAAGGTGGGAACAGGGGTCAAATGTGGAAGCAGTGAGACTAGTTAGGCTGCTGCACTTGTCCGGGTGAGAGATAAATGTGGCTTGGTAAGACAGGAGGGAAGTGGGTGGATTCCACGACTATTTTGGCGCTAAGGTGACAGGAATTGCCAAAGTGGGAGGTGGGAGTGAGGGAGGGATCCAGGACCACTCCCGGCTTTTGACCTGAGCAACAGGGAAAAGGATGGTGTCATTTACCAACAAGGGGGAAGACCAGGGGGATGGTGGGGGTGGACCCATCTTCTCCCACTTTTTAAACAGAAATAAGTGGGAGATAATAAAGATGGAGGGAGGTGGGGCAGAAATGTTTGCGGCCTGTTGACCTGGCATCAAGGGTGCCCAGGTGTGCATACAGAGGCTGCCTGGCACGTAGCAGATACAGGTGCTGAGTCAGAGACATCTGAGAGATTACCCAGAAAGTTTGGTAATCAAAGAGACATGTGAGATCAGCAGCAGAGGGGCATCGAGTCAGACAGGCTGAGGTTTGAATCCCAGCTGCGCCCCTTGCTCACCATGCAAAGTTGGGCAACTAACCTCATTTCTCTGGGTTTTCTCCATCTATAGAATGGGAGCGATTATGTGTGCACCACACAAGGCCAATGGGGGGATGAAGAGAGATATGGCACATGGAGGTGGCACGTGGATGTGGCACATGGAGGTACTAGAAAAATTGCCAACCAAGAGCTGGTCAGGGGCCCAACAAGGCAGAGGTGAGG